ATGTTTGTGTAAACAAAAAAAAACCTCTTAATATTAACTTAAGATATCAAAGTATAACCTAAATAACTTTTTTTTTAAAACTGTTTTATTAAGTATTGCAACACTAGCTTACAATTTGAAAAAGTAAACTATGATCAACTTTGTTTCTTTTATAATTTCATAGGGCGCATAGTTTTCGTTTTGAGCGCTTCATACAAAATATGCTTCAGTCAACACAAAAAAAAAACGGAGTGTATATCTCCAAGTTGATACGATATTCCAAGGCTTGTATTTCCTATCATGATTTCCTTGATAGAGTGTTGGTTGCTGCTCACAAGGAAGCTATTAAACCAAGAGTTCCAAGTGGTGAAGTTGAAATCGTTCCTCCGTAAATTGTACGGACGCCATCACGAGTTGGTTGACCGTTATGGAATATCCGTTTCACACATGACAACGGATGTGTTCCAGTTGTCGTAACAACAATCCCGTCCCCTTTCCCCGAATGTGACCTACCGAATTAGACTTATCAACGGATTTGTACTAAGATGAGCAACACGACGGGTGCCATATGTGGAGCAGGATCTGCTCACCCTTCCAGAGCACCTGAGTTCAACCCCAGTTTTTGGTGGGATTCGTGTTGCTCAGTCTTTAGTTTTGTATATTGTGTTTTGTGTACTATTGTTTGTCTGTTTGTCTTTTTTTCTTTTTTAGCCCTGGTGTTGTCAGTTTATTTTGGATTTATGAGTTTGAATGTCCCTTTGGTATCTTTCGACTCGCTTTTCAATCTTAGATTAACGAACTTCGTAAGAGACAAGCATTATAAAATCTGGTTCAAGAAAGTTCTGTAAGTTCTTTCATTAATAAAAATATATATGAAGATGGAATAGCGTGCTGAAATAATCTTTAGGAAATTCATTTCAGTGTGAATGTCCTACAAATTCCTTTTTGTTTTTTAAGAGCCTTAAATAAAGTTACTGTAATCTTTCCTCTAACGTCAAGCAATCAAGTTTTATGTAGATAAATCTAAACTACTCGATTTCTGGCACCATTATGCTTTCGCTACATTATTTCATCGCACGAACCAAAGCAGTTTTTTCTACCCTAATTTAGTATTTAGTGTCCCAGTCTCTTATAACTACTACTTAAGTTGTCATTTTAAACATCATGAATGAAACGTATATTGCCTATCAATTTCCTTCGATTGTGGGATATCATGTATTATATTAGCAGGACTTCATTGTTATCGAAGTAATATATCCGTTATGTTCGTATGAAGGTTGTCTTCGATGTTACAGTGGTTCACATATATATTTTAATTGTCTGTCATTTTGAGTTTTCCTTTATAGAAAACAAAAAACAAATGACTTGAAAAAAAGGAGATGTGGTATGGTTTCTAATGATTTTGATTTTGATTTTTGGTGTTTTAACGCCACTTTTAAGCACCGCTTTTGGGCTATTTCGTGGCGGCCAGTTTTTATTGGTGGAGGAAGCCGGAGTGCCCGGAGAAAACCACCGACCTTCGATAGGGAAACTGACAATCCTAGTCAATTAAGATTGGAGTCGAGTACACCCTCACGAGCTTGGTTCGAAATCACAATCTCAGTGTTGACTGGCTAGTGATTACAGTAGTAACTACTTAGACCACTCGGCCACCGAGGCCCCGTGGTTTCTAATGAAACAAATATATACCAGAAACTAGATGATGTGGATGTAACAATTATATAGGTCACCGTACGACCTTCAACAATAAACAAAACCTATACGTTATAATAAGCTTTATAGTGTTGTTTGTTTTTTTTTGTTTTGTAGTAGTGAAAATAGGTTTCTAGTTTTTGGCTATTTTTTCTGTATTTTTTTTTTTCGAAATAAAGATTTATGAACATTGAATGTAAAATTTTAAAATCATGTTCTCATTAAAAAAACAACATCGATTTAAAAACTAATTTAAAGAGTAGTGCTCCATGGTATCTTAACCATTATATAAATAACACATAGCTGAGAGGGTGATAGAGCAGATTGTTACCCCGAGGAAACATTATCAGTTGAGGCGAAACCAAGGTTGACGATGTCTTTTCGAGGGGTAACAATCTGCTCTATCACCCTCTCAGATATGTGTTATTTTATTTATTATACTGAATGTTCTGTTATTACTGTCGATTAAATTTCAAATTCAAAGTAATAAACTATGACGTCTTGTACATAACAACCATCCGTATTTATTAAAGCGCACACTTGATCAAGCGTCTCCATGAAGGGTAATAGAGTAAATTAACACCCTTGTATTAGCCAATCAAAATATGGAATTTTAACCTGTTACACAAGATGCGAAAAAAAATACCAACAGGCAAATTAAAAATAACATGTTAAAGGAAAAAAAACCACCACGACCAAGTGATATAAGACGACAATACAAATAAAAAATAACTATCAATTAAACACTACATAGAAGTCTTATGATTGAGCAACACAAACTCCACACACCAAAAAAAAAAACAAAAACAGGAGATTAGCCGTAGTGCTTCCATAATGTTTCTCATTCAAGTTTCACCTCAAAACAAGCAACTTTCAGCAAACGAACAACAGGTTGTTTAAAGATATGAGCACTTGTAAAACGCAACTGCAAACTTCAATCATAATAATAAATTCCTCCAGACCTACAATGTACATATGCTATAAAGTTTACTTTTATTTCAAGCTAACATCAACAAATTGCATAACTTAAGCTTTATTCATACTATTACGTTATTCAAAGAAGAGTTAAACATGCTTACTAAAACCACAATATGATTTGCTTTCATTCTAAGTGATCATTAATCCATCAAAAACATTGTTACATTTACAACTTCAATTACAATTAGAATTGCACCATGTCTAACAGTTGCTAATAGTTTCACCGTTTTGTGTTAAGATTTGATATTTTATATAAAAAAACAAGAAGATGTGGTATGATTTCCATTTTAAAAGACAACTCTCCATCAGAGTCCAAATGACGTAGAAGTTAACAACTTTTGGTCACCATACGGCCTTCAACAAAACCCATACCGCATATTAAGCTACAAAAATGACAAATGTAAAACAATTCAAACGAGAAAACAAACGACCGGATTTATGTACAAAACAATAAACGAAAAAGAAAAAAAAACCAAATGTGATATATAGCAACAAACGACAAGCACTGACATACAGGCTCCTGACTTGGGACAGACACAAATATATACATTTACTCGTGCAGTTATAAGAGTAGTTTCTTTCTGTGGAATCTCTGGTACTAGTGCAAATACACAATTATTTGCGATAGAGAGGCATATGATACCAACCTCACAAGTCGAAAATAGACTGACAATGCCATGCTAAAAAAAACAAAAAAGACAAAAAGACAAAAAAAAACCCATATACAAAACAGAACAAGGAAAACTAAAGACTGACAAACCTTGTTTCATTCTGATTGTAAATTCCTGGTACACGAAATGCACTAGTATCGGCATTAAGGGCCAACCCGTGGTAAAATCAATATACAATCAAGTCCCAATGAATTATTTCTATTCTATTAGGACAAAGACGGCATTTCTTTTGGATCGAAGCAACTTTCAATAAGGGGGCGTCCATTTGATTATGAGGGAGGTGCTGGTGGTTTATAAGAGGGCGTCCATTTGATTATGAGGGAGGTGCTGGTAGATTATAAGGGGGCGTCCATTTGATTATGAGGGAGGTGCTGGTAGATTATAAGGGGGCGTCCATTTGATTATGAGGGAGGTGCTGGTAGATTTTGGAAATAAATGTTCTAGTCCCCATTTACTTAAATTAGATAATCTTGCCTTATAACGCATTAAAATAAATATTCTGGCCCCATAATATTCCTTATGTGCTTCGCTCGCCATTTTTACAAAGACAAACAATAGTTACGGATAATCCAATAAGCGCTATGGATGCATAAAATTTGTAAAGATTTATTGTCAGTGGTAGATTCATGGGGCTTACCCACCACCTGTTTTTGACCGGAAAAATATATCAATGTTTAATTTCATAAAATCGTCATAAATATTTGCCACGCCAGCTCGGAAGATGTTTTACTGCTAATTACTAATAAGGACTATAACGCCTTCCTTCCCTAGGAGCCTGGGTCTGTCCCTGGTTGTTGTGCTATAATCCAGCTTAAAATCCCCCTACCACATGCTCGTTGGTGAGCAAGGGACTTTTTACAGTAATGGAAAAGGTACTTGTAAAATAACCTGTGTTTACCTTAAAATGAATGCGCGCAAATGTATTCTAAAGCTGCAAACTTAAGGATTTTTTATGCGCAAATGAAATGGTCATGCGCGAAGATGTAATGCATCGCATTTTCATACCTCCATATAAAAACCGAATAATTGTCATGATATTCAAATTCAGTAACATGCTTAATATGATACAATCCGTCGGTGTTTGATTTACTTTCGATATAAAACATAGTTTAGCTCTATTTTCAACAAGAGAGGGATTTTAGAACTGTCAACTAATTACAAGCTATCAATGAATGATAGTTTTAAGTCTTACTAGGAAATAAAATTAACAGGAGGTAATTTTATGCTGCGAGTTTTTATCTTCAAAGTCTTGGAGAGCAACATCGAAAATGTAACTGCATACTGGGAGCTTAAATATATCTCAGTGATTTCTCAGTGATAAAGCCAGGAAAGTTCTCTGGAAAGTTAATTAAACTGTATCTACACTCCGTGTGTTAAGTGACTTATGAAAACAAATCTATTTAATTTTGTTTCTATTTTTGAACGTTTCAGATATAACAGTTTAACAGCTAATTAATTTCTATGAGAAAACAAAGTTATCAAACAACTAATACTTCGGATCATTTACTTTATCCTCTGTTGGAGAAAAAATAGTAATTTAATTTGCCATTTGTGAAAAATCAAAGTTCACGTTAACTCGATAGTCTATATAATCTCCTGCATCAGTGATGCTGACTTCGTTTGCTTTTCTCAGAGGACGTTAAAAGTAGTCATTATAGTTATATTCGCCACAGAAACAAATTATCGGGGCGGCAAATTTTTCTGCGTCTTTGATAATTACTCAATATGCATGCATGAATGTGGCGTGAATAAGTTTATATTTATTTTTCAGACGAAGCTACAGAAATATTGTTGTGATTGCATATATGGATAATGAAAGTTAACGAAAATGATAAATTTTATTTGTTTTGTGGTGATGTGTTATGGATTTGTGACATTTACTTCTGGAAGTAACGTTATCCGTTTAGGATATTTAACGGGATCGGAACAATTAGGTAAATACTACCAACGCCCTGGCCAATCTATATCAGGTGCTTTAACTTTTGCATTGGACGAAATTAATTCAGACTCGACCATATTACCAAATCATAAACTAGTTTTCATATCTGCAGAAACTTATGGAAGTGAAAAGGAAAGTATTCGGCAAACAGTGGAACTGTTGAAATATAATATTTCTGTTTATATTGGACCTCAGGAAACATGTATACACGAAGGGAGGATAGCTTCTTCATTCAATCTTCCTATGGTATCATATGTAAGTACTTTTTTTATAAATTTAATGATATGTTAATACTTGTATGCTCTACTTCAAATATGAGGAGAGGAAATCACGCACAAAATAAGCACAACTTGGTATGTGTGTAGGTTTGACTTGTGTTTTTCTTTTTGTCTTTTCTCCTTTTAACCATGATGTTGTCTGTCACTCTTCGATATATATGTTTTTTTTATCCCCTTTTTATCTTATCTCACATGTTATTAATATTTTCGTTTGCCAAAAGAGAAGAATATATTCTATACAAATTCCCATCTTTTACGTACCTTTTTAAGTGGAATGTCCGTGGACTAGAAATTATAGTTTGCAAAAGCATATACAATTAACAGACATGTATACATTTAGTATGGTCCGAATTTACTATAGTGATAGACAGGATTTTTAGATATACGATTGATTTCAGCGGTAATCGACACATTATAATTTAAAACAAGTGGCACTGCATGCAGTTATTAATGTAAAATTATAGAAGATATCAGCCGTATATATGTCAATGAGTCAGAAACCAAAAACACACGAAAAATTACATTACTCTGAGTATTTTTCTGCACAAATAAGGACTATTTATGAATTTGTTTTCCCTTCAGGCTGCTCCAACTTATTAGACAATGTTGTCAGTGATTATTAGACTTTTTGCTTGTTTACATGCATTCCCTTATGTTTTGGTGTTCATACATTTCTTATATCTATTTGGTTTGGTTTGGTTTGGTTTCGATCTGACCTGATAACGACAGAAACACGTAACATAAGGATATTGGTATCATTTTGTTTTCATTTGTTAACTTTGCGCGATGATTTTCCGTCATCTTACATAAGAATGTACTTAAGTTGCAGCAACAGGGCCTTTAATTGTTATTGTAAAGATACGTTTTATGACAAGGAAAATTTTCCGTTATAATGATTAAGATTAGTTCTGACAGTTTTTCTTGTGATCTATAAATATATGGTTTTGTCTTGTGTTCTATAATAATATGGTTTTGTCTGTGACGGGATATGTATCTCACACTTTACCGAATTAATGGCTGTTAGTCATTAAAACAGTGGAATTATAATTATATTATTGAAATTTTGCCTGGGATATTGGTTTGGTGTCTCCGCATTGCCGACTATCGTACATCTCATTTTTTTTGTACCATGAAAAAACAAAGATATACAACATGATAGAGCTTCATTAAACATTTAATCATAATAAAAATTCTACGTATCAAACAATTTTTTTAAATTTTACATTGACTTAAAACCCGTAAAATCTTCTAGGTAGCCTATGTTATCATGACTAATTTTGGAACATGTATTTTCATTATAAATCGTCTTATCACCACGTTTTATGTGTTATTATTCTACTCACATAAACGATTTAATTGTATTAGAAGTAGAACCAATTTCATACGTAATGATTCTGAATTGGACATAGATAATCCTTATAAATATGTAAATTGGATATTTTTTTTATTTCATTGATGTTTTACATCTGTAAGTTATGAAGTGTAACATAGATTAAATATGTCAAGCATATTTTTTTTCTTTTTCAGTATATATTGGCTAAAGTTTCTCGTTTCCCCTTTGGAATCGACGTTTATTTAATATCATCATCATTGTCATCTTTATGTCAATGTCTATAACGATGATTTTACTCTATCCTTCAAAGAGAGAGAGAGTGTGAGAGAGAGAGAGAGAGGAAATCCTATTATCTATGTATTTATTCATTTGTTTCATTGTATTCAAAAATCTTAATTACTAATATTGATACTATAATTAGTATTACTATAATGCCATTGTAATAATAGTTATTATTATTTTGTCTACAATATAATCAACTGTGTTCATATTTAGATAAGATCTATTAAGGTGAGACATTGTGTTGTTTGTAACTAGGAAAGTATTTATGGAAAAAGATAGATCATTTTATAAGAACTAAAATATCTATATATATTTATAGCATTTTAAAGAAAAAACAAAAATAGTCATTTTTTGCATAATTTCTTCTGTTCTTAAATTGCTTTTTGTTAATAACAAACCAAAGAACTATCAATCATGCAATTTAGTAAAATCATGAAGGGCACAGATTGACGTATTCTAGAGTTCATATCTAAATAAGTCTCTATAATTTACATCTACAATTTAAATACTTCAACAAACTGTTTGCTGTTTTACAAATAATTAGAAAACAGTAACTTCGAGCTAAACCTAGTGTTCGTTGACAATAAACTAGGATATATATACTTACAGGATGATATAGTCAGTTTTAAGTAAATATCCAGTAAAATTAAAAAGCAAATTGATATCTTAAAATTTGAGCGTTGAATTCTATGTACGGATATTGATATTAGGTATTTGTATTTATTAGAAAGTAATTTTCTTATGAATTCCTATTTCTATGACTGATCATGATACAAACTTTAGAATTGAATCTGAATTCTCTGAAATTGAAATTTCTAACGTATTATGTCAAATAAAGATGCGCTGATTGACATTATCTAAAATTACTGCATTTTCATGTCTTCCACTTCTATCAGACACAGTGGGTTTGTAAAAAGATGTAAAAAAAATTCAATAACTAGGTTGATTTTTCATCAAGTAAGTTTGCAAAGATAAAATAAGAACGATTCGGTTTTACAATTTTAAAATCGTGTTTATTTGATTTTGAGAGGTCATTAACATCTTTTTTAAAGAGATCATTACCAAAGTTTTTAGAAAGTAAACCATTTATAACTAGACGATTAGCTAAGCGAAAATAATGAGAATCAGAGATATTGATAATTTGAAGAACGTAATATATCTAAAATCTGGAATTTAAAAAAAAAAAATTACAAACAATAAACCTATGTAATAATAACCCCAAAGATAAGTTGTCCTTTAAACCTTTTACACAGTGAATTGATATAAAACAATTATCCAAAAAGGAAGAAGTCAAATCCAGTTCAGAAAAGATTGTTCGTTAATGATCTCTTATACTTTTGACTGTGTCCTACATTGTATGGTCTGTATAAACAAGACTATACTTTACTTAAACAGTCAAAATTCAAAAAGTAGGGAGACATCTGATAATGATTGACAATATTGTAAAGTATATTTTTGTATTTCATGTTCAGATTGAAGGATTACCGTACACACAATTTTGGTAATTAAAAAATCAAAATGATTATTGACTCACCAGCAGATCCGGAAACGTAATTTTTAAAGTCTAAAACAACGATAACAAATTTAAATCTTTGACTAAAAGAAAGTCTGCAGACTATTTTCAGCTTATTATTGTTCTTGTACAGAGATAAATCCGATCACAATCCTTGAAACCATACAAGAAACCTGTCTTTTTTTTAATGGATACTTGACTAAATTTAAAAGAAATCTTGAATGTAGATGTATTAAGTTCAATTTCTTTGATTGCTAGTAACCTGTTAACACTAAGGTTTTGAGTTCGTATCCGGCACGTTTAAGTGTGTTCGACTACGATCTTAATTGGGTAGGATTGTGAATTTTCCTACGGCAGGTCGGTGATTCTCTCCGGGCACTCCGGCTTCCTACACAAATAAAACTGACCGCCACAAAAAAGCACAATAGTGATGAAAGTTGCGTTAAACACTAACCATTCAATCAACGTTTTATCCCGTTCTCCTTTTCCTCGTGCATGACTATCTTCTAAACAAATTAATAATTATCTGATTTTTTGTCTCAAGAAACACGACGGACAAGGCCATGGCGTTGTCTATGTAAACTTTTTTTTTGCACCCATGAGTACCATTTTACTTGAAAGATAAATTGTGAAGGCAGCTTTAATCGATTTTGGTTTATAACCAAACTGATATTCAGATTTCAAAACTTTGCATTGTTAAGGACTGGCCATCCTTCATGGTTTACATTAAAATAAGAAATGACACAACAGAAATATACTAGGTACATGACGACATGGTATGATATTATTACGTTTTATAATATTTTTACAATTTAATTTTTCAGTAGAATTTCACATTTACAAAAGTGTTAGAAAAATGAATTAATGTAAATCTACGTCTCATTTGCAATCATAACACATCTTCTTATTTTTATATTTAGAATCGATTTTTACTGAATGAATATTTCTACTAAATGTAATAGATTTTACTTTGATAATATCCTCCCAACATGCCAACATGTACTGTGATATAAGAACATCTTTATATAACAAATCAAATAATTGCCATATAAATCATTTTAAAAAGATTTGTGACATTAACATACAAAGAGATAACATATAAACATTATATGAATTCAAACATACATAAAAAGACAAAAACAAACCCATAGGAAAACATATCCAATAAAACATCTATAAGTAAAAAAAGCAAAACAATCTATTTACATATCTATATAAATAAATCAAGAGTCCTCTGTCCACAGTTCTAATGCCTGTTTAAAAAAGGACCCTAAGCCTTCTACTTCTTTTGAGGTTGATGGGCAAAGAAGATATTTAATTTTCTCATTTTCTTGCCAGGGCATAAAATTTGGCATATGTTTAACTACATTTCCTTAAAAGTTATCTCTTAGTTTAGAATTTTTTTTTACAGTATAAAATAAAATGAGCTTCATCCTCCAATGTTTTACAGGATGGGCATAGTCTTTTTTCTTAATATATTTTTAAATGTCTTTCTTTTATTATGGTCGCTAATTCTCATTTTTGTTATGATACTTCTCTTTTCAAAAGACTTTCAGTTTAAGTAATTTTCCATTTCTAAATTTTGCTTCAAACTTTCATATAAATATAATTTACTTTTTTTGTTCAAATATATTATTGTAGAATTTCAAAATTGGTGTTTTAAGTTTTTTTTTAACAACTTTGAGTAATTTTTTCCTTTGTTTCCTCCAAGAATGGGTAATTCTATGTTTACCTCTTTCAAAATATTTTTAACACATATAAACCAGAAATAGCAACCTGATTCATCCAAACTTTTAGAAAGTAAAAAGGATTCATATAATAATGGATTTATTTCAGAATTAGTAATCTT